GATTTTTTGACAAAAACGACATGCTATAGTATAGTATAGTATAGCTCCAAACTCGACATGCCGGATCACAGTCCTGCCCGGAGCAGGTTTGCCCCATTTTATTTAACTTCCATGTAAACAGGTAAGTTTAAATCTCTAATAAGAGTGATTTTAGTCAGAGTGAACATATAATATCAATGAAACTGCAACTGTTGTTAAGTACATTTTTGCGAAATGGACTCATTTTCTAAGAGCACGCTGACATAAATCTTATGTACAAGTTTATTAGTGAGCCATGACGAGTAGTACACTGATACCCATTCATTCCACTGGCTCATGCCATGTAATGACAGTTTGTACAAATTGCAGTGAATCACCCAGTGAACTTACGCACTGTGACGAATACCAGCACAGATATAGAAAGGAGGCATGCAGCCAAGCACTGAAGACAAAAAGGAGGAAACGGAGGTGTGTATCTGAATTCCCTGAATTATGAAACAAGCTTGCGTTGCATTGACCGGAGTAACACCTCAGGTGGAAAACCCGATCTTGCCAACAGATTGGCAACTGATCAATCCAAGTGGGCGTGTCAGGTGTGCTTTAACCTCTTTGTGTGCAGTCTGTGGTTTCAAGAGGTATTCTTTTGAAGGTTGCCAGTATGTGTAAACAGAGCTTAAGCTCATGTGTTCCTCCTCAGTCGCTCTACAGAGGTATGAAAGTTTCCTAACTGAGACAGTCTGACTCACTGGTTGTGGAGTAATTGTGACTTCCCCTGCATATTTCACACGGCTTTCTCCTCCCATCCTTCTATCGAGGTGTAACTATTTTCAGAAGCCACGTAACTGCTGGAAACAACAACTTCCGATCTACACGCTGCTGTTTTTTTTCCCCTCCAGTGAATTAATCATTTTAATGGAAGTTACCGCCTCCTTAATGTCCCACTAAAACCGGTCCCTCTTCAGTGTTTTGCAACATCGCTGCATACTTGGCTCAGCTCCGCCAGAAATAACTGGGATTAGTTTAAAAGTAAAGGATTTTACTGACTAAGTACTATAGTCCCGTGGATGTTTTGAAATCTATGCCTCTTTCTCTCCTCTTTCTCTAAAAGGTAGCTACTTCTTAACTCTGATGGAGTCAGACTAGTTGTTTCTTCCTGCTTGCAATGTTTACCTTATGCTAAGCTAACTGTGTCATAGTTTCAGGTCTGTTCTTTATTAAAAAAAAAAAAAAGTATTAGTGATCCCTTTTCCAATTGGAAAACGTTTTTTTTATTTTATTTTAATTATGTCAATATTACCCAACTCCCAAACTGTGTGCTGTACCAATGGGCCATTATTGTTCTCTGTGCTTTCAGTGGCCTGTTTCTACTTATTGGACTGTGTTTCATCTGAATTTCTCATCCATAAAGCACTTTGTAGTGTTGTTTTTGATTATTATTATATTTGATCCACTGAGTTCCACTCATTTTACACGTCAAAGTCGATTTATAGGTCAAAGGAAACACGATTAACCTTCTCAGTCTTGTAGGTGGGAACTGGGGGAAACTTTTCCAGTCGCTGTTTTAGCACTATTAAGCTCCAAATATTACCAAAGAACAGTTTCAGATTTGTACAAAGGAGATGTATGTATTTATAATTAAGTTTTACACTCAAAGTTTTTGCGTTTGTCTTGTTTCACCTTCAGCTGGTCTTTTGTTTGCTGCTTCATTTGTTTTAACTTTTAGGTTCTCCATTTATTCTCAATGGTTTTATTATTTAACAAATGTTCTCTTCTTAATTGTTTTATCATCATTCATATCCAAGTTTATTGTCCACAACTTTTATTATCTTCCTCGTCTAATAAATGAGGCCTCCGTGTCGATGTGTTTTCTGAGTTTAAAAACATTTTCAATAAATGAATGAGAGATCGCCTCGACTGAAGAGGTTGTAAAATGTTACTGAACCACATGGATGTCACTCATATTCCTTGATTACGTGAATTACCTCCTAACAATTATAAACAGTCCAGCTTCTGGAGAGAAAAATACTTCAACACTCTAACAGTATGCTCATTTTGTTTTATTGCACTTTTACCATTATGCAAAGAATTTAAAAAATAAAATCCACAGAAACAATGAGTTGAATTTAAAAAAAAAAAAAAAAAAGAGAAGCATTTTCACTTCAAGAACAACCATCTAAGGTTCTCCATGGATCCACCCACACATCCATACACACTGTACTGCCCTGACACAGGACTATGGGAACTTAGACTGTGTAACAAAAAACCCTTATGGAACAGATGAAGTCAGCACATACACATATGTAGACCTCCGTATCTTACCTACAGCTCGTACCTGGGAGGAGTTTAATCCTTTCCTCTATGAAACCAGACATTCAAGTATTTCTATCATTGCACAGGCACTAGATTTTCCTACTGTATATATTAACTTTCAGCCAGTGACTGAATCATCGACACCAACAGTTAAGCTATCGGCTGTTGGTCATGAATGAAATATACATCCTGAAAAATAATCTCTCCACAACAGCGACATCTGGACATCAAATATATTACAAAGAAACAATAATATAAAACTATTAGTGTCACATTTGGCTTTTGGTACCATAAATCTAACCTCATAACCGTTGCACTGAAAGGAAAACAGTAGTTGGAGAAATGATTAAACGCTGTAAACACAGGTGCAGATTCATGATGGCTATAAACCGATTTTAAAGCAGGTTTGATGCTCGTAATGGGGTGAGTTACTGAATGGCAACGTCCTGGCAGCCTGGTTTGCACGTGCTCAGTTTGCCCTCTTTTGGACAAATGAGGAAGTGCACCGCTGTGATGTAAATTCAACTGCTCGAAAAAAAAAAAAAAAAAGATGTGTGTTACTGATTAGCATTCATTTCAAACAATAAATATGAATTTTAATAAATACTCTCTCAAGGACATGTAACATTTATGGGCAAAATTAATGGACAAATCCAGGAGTAAACCTGCACTCCAATCAAATATTTCCATCTTGAATGATGAGACGCTGAGTCAGCTCAGCAGAAATAAAGTTTTTTTTTAAAAAAAGGAAGAAAAAAAAAAAAGACACTATTCAACAAAACAGTTTGCAGCAAATCAATAAAACGTCATTTTGATAAGTCCACCTCCTCCTCCTCCTCCTCGTCTTCTTCCTCCGAGGTGAGTGTTCAACCAAAAACACCTGCAATACCAACAATAAGTAGAAACACACAATTCAGCTTTGTGAAGAGGGGGGGGAGATTCTTTACAAGTCCCTCAGAATTCACTGAATTCAACAAAAGGGTCCTGAACCCGACAGAGAGAAGGCGTCTCTTGCAAGACTTTTAATGGTTTGGTTGCTGCGGTGGGTGTTTGGGTCAGCTGTGGTGATGCTATCCTACACTACAGTCAGGGTTGGACACTTTAAGGAGCCTAAGGTGACCTGTTCCGTTCCTCAGCCCCCCGGGAGTCTTCCACATCACCTGCGCCTCGAGCCTAAAGTCATCGCACCGTTTGTCAAAGTCCAGTCCTTTCCAGCAGGCTTCCACCTCCGACGCAGCTCATGTTGCCTCGAGCAGGTGGGCTTCCCTGTGAGTTCAGCGAAAAATCAAGCCCTCTGAGAAATTCGGCACAGATGGAGCTCATCTGTGTTACGGGATGCCAGTTCAGTTTAAGAGAATGACTGGATTAGCTTGGCCCAGCCTCCTTTCTCCAGGGAAGTCCAGCTGCCAGCACCCCCAGCCAGCTACCTCCGTCTTGGGCCGTTGTGGCCGTGGTCGGACCCTTGGAGCCCCCGGAGGTCGTCCTCCACCACGTAGCTGTAACCTTCCTTTTCGATGCATTCTGACAGCACGTTTAGCACCTGGTGACAAGGAAATACAAAGGTTTAATGTTTGATTGACAGAGTAAGCCTTTGTCCACCCATTATCTATGCACCTCACGAGGATCAT